AGTCAGCTTCAGGGTTGTAGGTGCACCTTCTCCAGGGGATGACAGCATATTTCCTGTAAATTCAACCTTTTGCCTTTAGGATCAATGTGTTCTTATTCCTGTTCTTGACTCTCTGAGCTGGTTATACCTCTGCCAGAGGCTGAGAGTCTGCTGGGCTAGGAGAGATTCATGCTTGGATTTCAGGGCAAAGGGGGCAGGGCTGAGCTGGGACTGCTGCTTCCAAAGCAGGAGAAGCAATGGTGTGCCAGCAGCACAGGTCCAAAGTGCTGTTATATTTTTTTTATTTGTAAATTTCCAAAGCTCTGTTGAGTATTTCTTAATAGGAACAAGCATTTTTTTGTACCAGACACCTATTTTTTGTTGCTTCCCTGGGCTTTGGGCTAGGATAAATTGTAACACAGTGTAATCATGTACTGACCTTTTTTATTTGTATACTTGACAGAACAAAAAAGATTAAGAACAAGGCAGTGATAAATGCAAGTCCAACTGAGAAGCTTATAAGAGAACTGAAAGCAGAAAATAACAAGCTGTTGTCTAGACTGGCTGGGCTTACAAACTCAGGAAAAGCAGTAGCAGCTGAAACAAGTATGTACCACAGAGCAAAAGTAGCTAAAGAAACAATGCATATCAGATGAAGTGGAGATTCTCATACCTTGAGCCCTTTCTAATGGGTCAGAAATTCATGGGGGATAAAGGGGGTTTTTGCAGTGGAGGTAGGTCTAATAAGAGAGTCTTTCTTACGAAACGGTTAACAGAGAAAAAATTGGAGAACTTCTCCAAGAGAGCTTGATGCTATCCTATCTGCACATGGTTTTATAGATTTGCAGGTACTAATAACTAATCAGCAGAGATTTTGGATAAACACCTGGCTGGGGTCATCTGACCCCAGTGCTCTTTCCTGCCCAGGACAAGGGGTTGGATTCGATGATCTAATAGGTCCCTTCCGACCCTAAAATCTATTAAATCTATGAATCCTGGTTTTCTCTGATATAAATCACAAATTCTCTGTTAAAACAAAAATCACAAATCCTCTGATTAAAACCCCCAAATCCATGATTAAAATGAAAGGCCACTGTGTTTTCATAATATATTTACAATTTTAAAGCAATTTGGAAGCCTACCAGTGCCTCAATCGTAATAAAATACATTCTAAATACTTATACATTTTGTTATTTGATTTTTGGGTTTTTTATCGTGGAAAATCAGAGCTCCCCCTGCCCCCTTAGCTCACAAAACACAGGTCCAGGCCCCTCACTCCCCCCACCGCCCCCTGGCCCTGCTGATGTCCCTCACCCCCTCCTTCATAGCCCCCTGGGCCTGTTGGTGCCCCTCACCCCCCATCCACTGAGCCCCCTGCTCCCTCAGTACTGCTGGAGGGGGCCCCCAGCTGCCAGGGCTACAGGGCCAGGCACCTGGGTCCACAGGCAGCAGTGCTCTGCAGCAGTGCTCAAGCCCAGCCTGCCACCTGCAGAAGGCAGCAGCTGCTGCAGTGGAGCAGAACCTGGCTCCCCCTCACTGCTGCCTGTCTGGTGTGGGCTTGGACAGGGCTGGCTCCCTACTGCTGCATGTACTCCCAGGGGGCCAGGGGACCTGTGCCCCCCAGATCTTTATGCAGTATGGAGCTGGGTGTGGGCTGCCTTCTGTGGGCTTGGGCTCCCCACCCTGCTGCCCTGCCCCACAGTCTCTGCAGCCAAGTGGGTGCAACCTGGCACTGCAGGGCAGAGTTGGGATCTTCTTGCTGCTGCGAGCTCCGTGTTGCCCTGGTGAGGCATCCCCTGCTTGCACAGCAGCAGCAGGGCCACAACCCCGTACCGCAACCCCCGCTGCTGTCACATGGGCAGGGGGCACGTCACCAGGGCAGCACAGCTCACAGAGGCAAAGAGCTTCCCTGTGTGGCCCTGCTCTGCCATGCAGTGCTGAGTCTCACCCCCCAGGCAGCAGAGGCCCCAGGCAGGAGCAGCAGGGTGGGGAGCCTGAGCCTGCAGTGGGCAGCCCACTCCTGCCCCCTTCCCCGTGCATAGATCTGGGGGGCATGTGCCCCCCCCACCCCACCCCTTGGGAGTGTGCACAGCAGTGGGGAGCTAGCCCCACCCCCTGCCTCTGGATAAGCCACCCACAGCCCCATCCCACTCCCCGCTGGGGCCCTCTGGCCATGCATTGTGGCCCTAGGCCCCAAGCCCCATGCACCCTGGCTGGGCAGCAGCCCTAGGCCTGCCCAGTTCACTTGCTCCCTCCCTATGGGGGCCTTTATTCTCCCCACTCCAGATTTACCTGCAGGAGCTGCTCTCTAGGCTGCCTGGCAGCCATGTACAAATACATGCATATGGTGCCATCTGCCTGGGTGCCCTCCTCCCAGCCCCTCACAGGCTGGAACTCTGCCAGCCTGCAGAGAGATCCTTGCAAAAGTGCAAAATCCATGGGTTTCTCAGTTAAAATGTGAAATCCACGCTTTTCTTGGGTAAAGGGGGAAATCCACGTTTTTCTCCATTTTCCGTGGGAAACAGAAGACCCGGGTCCCTGCTAATCAAATTTTTCTTGTCTATTGCATCTCTCATCAGATACACTAATAGCACTTTACAAAACACTAAGCCCAGTACTGCCAATCTCAAACCTTCACAGATTCCCAAGTCAAGCTGTGTGTCATGAGATTTAAAAAAAAATCATCAAATAAACAAAATGTATTCTTGTTGTTTGCCTTTCTACTTCTTTCGGCTTGTGAGTATTCTTTGGCCTTTTAGAACCACAAAATGCTGAAAACCAGTTTAGATGAGGATCTCAGCCTTCTTTTTTCTTCTTTTTATCACTTAGCTTCCTGAGCCAGGGCTTAAAAAAAGCAAAACTTTATCCCATATTGCAAAATTTGTAGAGACCTACCAAAATGCGCAAGATCTGCAGGGGAAAAAAATAACTTACTGAAAATAAAATGCTGGCTCCCCAGAGGGGGCAAAGCCATATGAGAGGCAGCAAGGCCATATGACGCGTTGAGGGACAGGGCTGTATGACAGGCAGCCCTTGCAGCCAATTATTGCTAAGGGGCAGGGCCACCAGGGGCCCTCAACCAGTGAGAGGCATGTGGGGGGCGGGGGCCAACGCACTCCACCTGTGAAATGGCTGCCAGGCCCCATTCTGCCCCGAATTTGGTAGGTCCCTAAAGATTTGTGATAATTCTCCCACTCTTCTGCTTATAAAGATTGTGACAATGAGTTACAGAGAAGTTGTTGGACATGTGCAAGGTCCAGAAAGAATAGAAAGACCATCTAAAGCCCACCCATTTGTCAATGTGGATTTTGTTTGTATTGTTTTAGGAAAAGGCTGGCAGCAGGCAAGCTCACTTACTAAACCCATTGTAGTGTTACCAAGAGAGCTACTGGAACTCCAATACTTTTGTAAATATGGACATAGTAACTTACGAGTTGATCACTTTGTAATGATTATTTGGTTGTATGGGCATTATGGGAAGTTTAAAAATGAGTAAATTAAGTTTATCAGTGTTTTGTATGTCTGTAGCTGATTGAAATTTTTTTCTCTCTCCCCCTCCAGAAGAGCTGCAATGTTTGCTGGCTGAAAATGAACGGCACGCTCAAACTATTCAGGTAACCTGGGAATCTCAGTTAGAAGAAGCTCGAAAAGAATGGGAACAGCATTATGCTGCAATTACTCAAGTAAGCTTTGAAAGAGCTACTAGCTTACTGCAGTCCATTTCACTTGACTTCCTTTGACACGTATTGTTTTAAAATGCAGTATGTTCACAGTATATTTTTCTAAATACTTATACTAACTAGTACTTCAGGGCTGTTATTGTGTCTTGAATTTGACAACATTTCACTTGATTTAAGTTGACTATATTTCACGATTCAATGCTTGATATCTAATATGAAATCTTTTGCCTGTGCTTACTGCTGACAGACATAAACTGTTTTCTTGATATTATTTTCAGGTGATTGTTACAAGGTATAATAACTTTTGAAAACAAAACCTTTACAAATAAAGGAAACCAGGCAAAGTATAGAACTTACAGGACACCTCCAAAACTTAAGAGACAAAGCCAGAAGTTTTTCTCTTGAAATTAAAACATGAAATAGCTAATATCAGCAAACAAACATTTCTTGATACTATTAGCCTTTTAAATAACAGAATTTTAGCTCTTACAGTGTGACTAGGAGCAAACACTTTTAACATAAACGTTTTAAAACTTTTTCCCCAAATGGAATAAATCTTAATTTACATATTTAAAAACAGTCTTACCTTTGAGCTCAGGGAAGGGGAGAGGCTAAGAAGATCCATGATCTGGCCAGATACAAAGTATCCAGAAGTATATAAATTCTTACATCTTATCTTTTCATCTCTCCCAATGTATAAATATTCTATAGGATTCTGATCCTGGCTAGGGCCTTTGGACACTTTTATTACTGGACAAATGTACTTGGCCTTTGTACTATCATACAAATGATAAATATTGTGTCCAGATCACTTAGCAGACAGTAGGCCAGAGGGGAATTTCAAAAGAATTTCTTCATTCTGTTTCAGTATTGCATTACGTGAAATACCACACCAATAAGAGAGCACAAGCTAACATAATCCATTGAAGTAATCATAGAAAACAAGAGCAGAGGTACTTTAGTCCAACCTCTGCTCAAGACAGGGTTATCCATGTCTGTAATATCTCATCCAAGTGTTTGTCTAACCTGCTTTTAAAAAACTTCCAGTGATTGGGACTGCACAATGTTTATGAAGGATTGTGTGCTTCTTTTTAAACTCATAAAAAGGCAAAGCAACATTAACAATATAACAGTGTGAACTGTAATAGAAGAAATCAAACAAACTACTTTTCTTTATTTTTATCCATTCTTATAGATTCACCTTTACAAATCAGGGCATTTCAATAAACCAACCTGACTGTGTTTCAGGATCAGGGAATGTTTTAGCGTGCCAAAACAGTGCCTATTGTTTAGACTTTTGAGAGTTAGTATTTAGATTCATTTCAAGTTGTCCTGAAAAACAGTCTGTGTGCATGATCTCCCTTGAAAAAATAAAGCAATCGTTCATACTTGCTAGCTGCTGTCAACGACTCAGCCTGTTGCACTAAATAACGTGTATCTGAATTCTTCATCAGGAGAGAAGGATGATGGAGACATTCCCTTATCTCTTAAATATCAATGAAGATCCACAGCTTTCTGGGGTACTCAAGCACTTCATTCAGGATGGTATTCTTTTTAACTTGTTTAATTTTCTGGTGTTAAGCATGGCACAAACTTACAATGCCCAGATGAACACAACTTTCTATACCTTAATATTCAACATAACAAAAGTGCTGTTGTGTTTTATACTGGCTCTTAAGTATTGGGTTGCTCAATCGCACTTGTTATGAAATCATTTAGGTTTTTTAGGTTCTAACCTGATTTTTTCTACTCTCAGAAATATCCTCTTTTTATTTAATCAACTTAGTGCACATCAGATTGTGAAATACAATAGAAACTTAACCTGTTAAAATAAGCAGGTAAGATGTGTTAGAAATCAAAGCCCATAAAACTAATAGTTGGAAATAGTCTCCTTTTGCTTTACAAATTATTTTATTGGTGTTTGGTCCAAACTTCCAGCATTTGTCTCTCTTCTGCTGGTCACTTAACAATCCAGTCGTTTCATTTCAGTTGCTGCTATTTCTTCTTCCTGCTGTTTTTTTTCTGGCAGTATTTTCTTTTTTGTGGCTGAACAGAGCTGCAGTTTTATAAGACTGGCTCAATAAGAATTGAGCAGTTCATGAAACATTGTTGTGGATAAGGCATGAAGCCCATAAAATTCCTGCTTGTCATCCTGTGTGACAAGAATAGATCAGATATGATTTCCAAATGCTATAAAATGCCCTGATTATTATTTATGGATGCAGAATTGCCCTTTACATTAATCAGGTCCAACAACTTGATGAAGAGAAGAGGGATAAGTACTTGTATTTTCATATTCCAAATATAATGCTAACATAAAAGGTCTCTGTCAAGCAAAACTCTACAAATTGATGTAGAAGAGGTGGAATGGTTATTCCAGTGGTTTGAGTGCTAATATAATTGTTGTTTCTCACCATATGACATTGATAGTAGAAATTTTTACTTCTTTCAGGTGCAAGTGATGTTGGTCAGTCAGCCTCAAATGCAATAGTCCTTAAAGGTCTGGGGTAAGTACGCATAAGTAAAGGACAGGACTGCTGAGTGCCTGTGTCATTTAAACCATAGGAATGTATGTTACATTGCATATACATGGGCTATGAGAATTTAGTTGGTCTAAAGAGAACAATACTTATGATGAATTGGAGGGGAAATGTTGTGTGGGCAACTGGGTTAGAAAGAAACTCATCTAGTGCTGCTGACAACAAAACAACAATAGGAATGTTAAGTTGCAGCACTGAATTCCAAATTAATTTATTAAATTGTCTCAAAAGTAAGCATGTTTTAATCATTTTAAAGGCAATGATCTGTCTATCTCTTGGGGCTTATTTTAGTGTGAGAAGCTAAAAGTGTTCAGGCCCATCAGCAGATTAGCCAGCTCCCTCAGTGATTGCACCTCCTTCCATGACAATCACATGGTAGGTTTTTGGGACAATGCAACTCACAAAACCGTAGACAAAAGATGACATACACATCGTACCTGTGGAATGAGACTTGGAATGATTTTAGAAACTGTGGGAAATGTTAGACAAGGCCTTAGCTGGTGACCCTTACAGGGTAAAAGATTATCTTTCTGTTTATTTAGGTTTTAATAGGCATGAAGATGTTTATCCCAGGCTCCAGATGCTCTTACCATTAACCATACACAACACACAGGATAGAAGACCCACACAACCCTCTTTGCCTACAGCAGTAAATCACATGAGAACCTAAATCAATATCTCCACAGCCATCATAAGTCTTGTCACCATGCAACTCTTCAAAAGAGATGAGCTTGGCACGATGCCTTGAAGAGCAGCAAGTGTGGCCTATTTTGGACCAGGCTGAGGGAAATAAATCCCAACATTAGGGAGCCCTCAGCAGAGAATGCCCTGCCTACAGGATCTTTTGCTCTGCACCAAGAAAGCCCTGCCCTCCACTATGATAGAAGTCATAGGGCAAAAGGCCATCTCTCAGGTTGCAGTGGTTGGAGTTGACTTAGCCTATGAGAGCTGTGACAGAAAGATAAATAAGTAACATCATTATATTCAGAATTATATTAAATATTTTTCTAGACTTTGAGATTGCTAAAAATATTTTTTCACAGTTTGCAAGAGGCCTGTTAATTGCAAAAAGTGTTTTCTCTCTCAGCATTATGGACAAGCAAGCTACGTTTACAAACACTGATGGCAAAGTCGCCATAACACCCTGGGATAAGAGCACAGTCATTGTTAACGGGGTGCCTGTCACTGTGAAAATTAAACTGCAGCATTTGGTGAGTGCTCCAGGGGAATGAAACAAAAACTGAGGATGTAGATTTCAGCTCAGAATGATTTTGCTTTTGCCTCTCCTGAAAGTGGTTCCATAGGTGGGGAGAAATTTTTATATAAACTACAGTGATGAGAAAGCTTCATCTAGTAAACAGGATCAGCACTGTTTCCTTGAAGAGGCAGATATCCATTTAAAAAGAAGGTGTTTCAAGGAAAGTAAGGACTCATGCCTGCAATCCTAACTCATATGGACTAGAACGGGGGTTCCCAAAGCTTTTATGCCACAACCCGGCAAACCACGGCCTGGCAGTGACAGTCGACCGCGGCTGGAATTTCTGGCCAAAAGACAGGTAAGGATGCCTCCAGCCCCTGGGAGGTCAGGTGGGCCAAACCCTGTGCTGCTGTGGGCTCTGCAAAAGGAGCCGCAGCCTCTCCACCCAGCTCTGGGGGGGGCCATGGTTTGCCAGTCCATGGCCATTTCCAGTCCGACAGCTGACTTTACTGCAGACAAGCAGCCAGCCTGTCGTGGCCTGGCACCAGACTGTGGCCCAGGGATTGAGAACCCCTGAACTAGAACATAGTACTGGCGATACCATGTTGAATAAGGATTACCTCTGGGAATAAGGGCTATAAAATCTGGACTTTCGATATTCTAGGAAAAATATATTTTAAATGGGTATCTATTTTAAAAGGAACTCTCTTTTAAAAACGAGTTCCTCTTCATTAGTAAGCCAAATTAGTTCCTTAACCTTGAAAGTTAGCAAGCCATACATTACATCAGTGTTCTCTAATGGTTCTAGATGCATGTCTTACAGAAGTACAGGGTAGCTGCTGTTATCTTGTTCCGTTTGCATGCTGGTCAGTCCAAAATGACATATATATGCTTAGCAGAAAATTATTCTAGAAATGATGTAAGGCTGAGTTTAGTGGCAAGTTTTTCCTGCTTTCAATTACCATGTAACTCCAGATAAGATTTCCAAGGTGTACTGTCCAGTTGCTAGTTTGTTGCCATTCTGAAGTTTGGTAGGATCTCTCTTTCTCTCTCCCCTTCAAATACTGGATTTTTAACTCTACTCCCCCCATTTTTCAAACAGGAAATTTCTTCAGTCTTTTCCTTCACTGATGGGACAGCAGAGCTCTCCCTTTCAGTTTGCAGTTTGCAAGCCCTTGGCAAAAACATAGTACTTGAAGTAAGAAATATGAAAACTGAGTTTAATGAGCACTATGTACTTGATTCTTCAGGACCGTATTATTTTGGGGTCAAACAGTGCTTACCTCTACATTGGACCTCCTGCAGAACGCACCAATGAAGATTTGCTGAGATATGATTATGATTTCTTTCAGTCAGAGCTGGCAGCTGCAGGTGGCTTTAGCGTAGATAAGCTTGGTAAGTGTTAATACATGTGTACTGAGCTACGAGACTCCTGTGAAGTGAGCAGTGTTCCATTTCACCCCAGGTCATCTGCAGATTTCTTTTAAATTTACCTTTTTTTCTGTCTAGAATTCAGTACTTAACATGGACCTGAAGTTGGACAGCGCTTTGCAGGCAGTGCAGCCTGTGACCTAAAAAATTGCATTTTACCTATCTAGCTAATTAACTGGAAAATTATACATTATATATTACAGTATACATTATACAGTTCTACATTATACATTCTGTATTTATAACAAAAATCCAAGAACTGCTTTATAAAGCCTGCACAGAAGTTAGTACATACTGTACTGTTATTAACAAAAATGTTCTGAGTTTTTGCACTGTCTCTTTGAATAAGTTGATTGATTAGCAGCCACACTTCCAGATAATTATTTCACATGCTATTTCAAATACTGTCCAATTTCTTTCTCACTAGGTCTGTGCTTGTTCCTTCTAAAATGTGTGAGGTGTGTGTTTAAAAATAACAGCCTCCCAGTGAACAATGTTCACCAGCTGTTACTAAGAAATGAGATCAGATTACTTTTAATAATATATAAACACTCCAGATAGAAGGCCACACATAATTGCTTGCTGAGTGGTCAGGACTGACAAGTGAGCAATCCATAATGTTTTATTCCTATTTTGCTTGCTTGCAAGAAGGCTGCATGTGGGCAGAATTGCCATATGTGATCTAATATTTCTTCCTTTGCTTCACAACTTCTCCAGCATTCATCTATGCTAGTTTTGGTAAATTGTCGCTAATTTTGAGTCAGGTAGCACTGGTACAAAATTTCCCATGCTTTTAATTTTTTTTTGAAATGGAGCTGTTTGCTCTTCTCTCTTCCCTCCAGCTTTCTTAGCTAATTACCTTTGTTTCATTGTATATGTGGAGGATGAAATCACAAAAGTTTTTGCTGTGAGATTTTTCATAATCTAGATTTTATTTCACCAACCACTTTAACTGGTTCAGTCCCATAGTCAAAAAGTTTGTTTTGGGGTATTGATGCAGAGTAATTCAGGTGTCCAATAAACTTTTTCAGAATTGTTCTAAATGCAGGACTTCAAACATAAATCGCCTCCTCCAGTTTCACTTCTTTAACTGTTGGATTGCTGTATGTTACTGAACATAAGGCAGTTGTATGTTCTGGTGGCTCCATCCAGAGAAAAATGGAGTAATTTTATATAGTTTACAGAAGTTTATTTGGGCCCTATCCTTTTCTTCTTCAGCAATCCCTCTCAGTTGAGGATGATTGTCTTCCATGGTTGTCTTATGCGTGTGTCCAAAGATGGCTAGTGAGGCCTATGTGGGATCAATAGACTGCTGCAACTCAGATATGTGAACATTGGGCACTATATACATACAGGATATCAGTTACTGCCTTACCAACCTCTTTTTTAAAGAGATGCTCCCAAGCTAAACTATTTGAAACATTAACACCTATAAATTATGAGGGAGTCTGAAATGTGCAATTTAGTGTATAGTTAAACTGTACTTATTTTCATGATGGGCTAAAGCTAAACCATTGCTTCAGATCCAGATGCACCAGACATCTTGTATTTAAAAGCCAGATGTAGGTCCAGACTCCTTCACTTAGCTCAGTCTAGCAAAAGCATGAGAACCAAATGGCTGCTGAATACCATGGCAGTGTCCAGTGCTGTATCTATAGTGTGTACATAAGGCAAGGCAGAAGTCATCTTCTTTCAGCCCCAATACCTTATACTTCTTGATCTGAAAATTGGAGTTACAGCAGATAAATGTTCTTCTGGGAATCTGAAATGAGCTGCTGTGAGCACAGCAGATATTTCAGATGCTTTTTCTCTTTTTTGTATGCAATCCATGAAAAATACCCTGGCCACAGGGTTCAAACTGGATTGTAGACATACAGTTAGGGTACAGTGCTACTCCCTGAACAGTGGGTGCCTCTTCATACTGCTTACAACATATAGCATAGACATGATGTAGATATATATGTTACCAAGGTGGTATTGCCAAGCTGTGCCAGTTCGTGTTGAGTAGCTCTAGTTAGAATTTTACCATCCTTCAGTAAATGAGTTGCAGTTTCTTTTACCTTTCATGTTACCTTTCTCAAAGGTGTTGTTAGTAATAAGGATGGCAAACCAGACCCCAGTGTTCTTGCAGTATTCCATGATTATATCAAGCTGATGCCTTTGGTTGCAGAAGCCAATCAGATGAGTGAGGAGCTGAAAAAGGTAAGTAGCAGTGTATGTCTGTCTTCCCCATCCACTGTAATAAACTAGCACATTAACCTTTATCACACTGCAAAAAGTGTGTGTGTTTTCATCCCCTTCTCTGCCAGTGCTCCTTTCCGTCATCTTCCTCCCATTTTCCTACCAGCCTGATGGGCAGGGAGGGAGGTGAGGCACATGGATTTTCTCTCTATTATTTTATAATGGTATTATGGAACTCAGTAAAGCCTTTTGAAGTATTAGCTATTAAAGAAAACAAAGCAAGATATTTGAGCAATTGTCATTGTGCTGTACAACTTTGCTAAGCAATGACGAAGAAAGGGATTAGTTGGCTCTTTGGGAGGGGAGGAGCGGAGGGAGAGACCAAGGAGGAAGAAAAACTGTCTAGTCTTATTTGAATAGGTAAAGGTTAGAGTACTGAGAGGAAATAGAGCAGAAGAACATTGAGGTTGGATAGAAATTTATTCACATTGAAATTAAAATTGTTTCCCTGGTGGAATGGTTTCCCAAGGGAAGTGTGATTGAGCCAGATAGCATGTTTATTCTTCTGATTGGGGGGTTTCTGCAATGCTGAGTTACCAGCCCTCATCATTATCTGCCCCTGATAGCATAGCCTGAGGCTGAGTTGGGTTCCTGGTGACTTCCAAAGGCCCTCCCCAGCTCCGTCAATGCCCTTCTCCACACAGAGCCCCAGACACCTTACTGCCATGACCCACTCCTCCCAACCATCCTAGAAAGAGCCAGAAAAAATGTGTCCTGCTGCCAAAATACTGCCCTCATGCCCAGGAGAAATAGAGCAGCAGAAAATCCACCACACTGCCTTCTGCTGGTCCATCCTTGCCCAGCAAAGTAATTAGCACTTGTGTGAGTAAAGGAACTGCCTTACTCCCTGCAATAAGCATGGAGGGAGGGCAGTGTCCCCTTGCATCAGTCTCTGGACTATCTCTAAGCCTTTCTTTTCCACAACCACTCCCTGACCTTTAGATATTACTGAGGTCACCAGCCAGCAGGCAGCTTTGCAGTTTGCCCCTGATATTTATTAAGCTGAATACTCAGTGGCTTACTGTCATATAAATGTCAAAGCCAGGAAAGTTTGAAATTTAGCCTTGGAGTAGCTTACTGTTTTTCTCCCCATTCCTCCAACTAGTAGAAGGCCTTGGCACTTTCTGTAGGGCCTGACCTTCTTGTTGTTGGAAGAGTGGGCAAAACTACATATTAGGCTTTCTTCTCAGATACCATTAGCTGAGAGGGGACTAATAGATGTACCCAGGATCTCGGTGATATATTAGGTTGGACAGAGGGAGAGTCAGGAATGGAACTCACTTGCTGATTCACTGAGGGGAAAATAATTACAGACTGTTCTAAATAGCACTGTTTTAGTTAAGCAGTATGACATCTCCCTCTACTGGGTATAATGGGATTGTTTTCATAGATAGTAAAGCTAGAAGGAATCACTGTAATCATCTTAGTCTGGCATTCTTGCATGTGACATAATAAATGGAGGTCACAAAGCAGCTGCCTGTAATCCACAAGAGAGTAGCAGTAACCCCACGTGAGTAGGCCAGGGTGTGAACTGATTTTTTAACATTTGAAATAAAGCAGTTCCTTTGGGTAGAGGGACTGAACTTCCAGACATTCCCTCATTATTAGAATTTTGTCAACTTCTGTCTTATATAAATGTATTTGACAAATGCTGCCCATTATAACTAACAATAACTCTTTAGTTTAAAATATTAGTTCTTTACATTGCCACAGATGGTGGCTTTGCTATTCTTATGAAGTTCAGATAGTACAGCTCTTGGATATCAATGTGCTTAAAGAAACAATTATTCCTTAACAGGATCTCAAGTTTGAATTGAAGGTGAAAAATCTAGCATCTTCAGATTCCAGAGGTTATGATCTGCAAAAGGAAATAATAGTAAAAGTGATGCACAAAATTACTAAGCAGGTGAGGAGACTGGACTTTGTGTGCTAATAAGAGTTCACTGGGGAAGGTGCAGAGTACAAATGACATTATTGTCAAGTAAGCCACTGCGTGCCGTGTTCTCTGTGTACAAAGTAGGAGCCCCCTCCTGATTTCTTTCTTATTTGTACACTTAAAAAACTTCTCTGCAGGCACTGTGTCTGTGACTTTCTACTGTCTCTACAATCAAACCTTGGCCACAAACAGATGTTCATTTCTACTGGTGGAAATTTCGACCATTAGGAATCTTTCCAGGAGAGGGAGCAGTACAAACGTTGAGCCTGCAGCTACCCTCTCTCCCTTGCTCTTCCGATCTTTCCCGGACTGAGATGGTCCTGATCTGGGGAAGATGTGAGCCTGCTCCACTCCTCCCAGTCCCTCGGGGCAGTGGAGCAGCAGATTGGGATCTAGGGAATGGGTGGAAAGCAGCCTCCTCCACTCCACTCCTGATCTCTGGGAGCAGAGCAAAGGGACCACTGGGGCAAAGCCCTCAAGCCAGACAGTGCTCAGCTTGGGGAAGGGGCCGTCAGCTTTACTCCTCCCTTTCGTTGCTAGACTGGTCTAGAAGGGGAGAAGCAAGGTAAAGCCCCCTGCCTGTTCCTCACACCAAGGACCCTAGTCCAGGGGGTAGGCAGGGATCTGTAAAGCAGCTTCTCCTCCACTCTGCTTCCAGTTTCAGGCAGGGGGTGGCATTGCTGTTGCTCCTTCCACTTGGCTCCCTGGCCCTGCCTGCTTCCCCTTGCCCCTCATGCCACATTTAAAAGCCAACAGGGCCAGGAACCAGGCTTAGGGGTGTTCTCCCTGAGCCCACTTCCTGGCCCTGATAGCTTTTTAAATCACTGCCTCCACCACCCAGCTGGGCAGTACAGGCAGCAAGGGGAAGCCAGCAGCACTATTTCTCTGCAAAGCCCTCTGCCTCTTCCTAAAACTGGGAGGCAAAGAGTGGTAACTGCTGCTTCCCTCCTCTCCCAGACTAACAAGGCCTCCAGCCTGCATCTCACTCCAGGACCTCTGAAGGAGGCAGAGGGCTTGCAGAACTGCTTGTAGAAGTGCACAGGAGCTGAGTGGGATAGAGCATCACAACAAAGTAGTGGCCCACTTCTCACACTGGAGTCGCTGGAGGGTGAGGAGCTGGTAGGGAACAGCTGACAGCTGCTTCTCTCTTCCCATCTCAGTCTATGAAAGGGCAGGAGCAGTTCCCTACCCTGCTTCTTTACCAGAACAGGGTGACCCCAGTCATGAGAGCCTTTTCCCCAGCTTCACTCCCCCTGCTCTCTGGGACCAACTTCTCGGTTGGCGTCAGTTTATCTTTGTCCCAGAACTGCCATTTTTGGTCCAGGAGAAAGTGTGAATGTTTTTATACTTGTAGCTTCTACCAGAAGAATGAGGATTCTCCCTTTAGAAACTGAACATCTGTATATGGCCACTGTGTGCTCCCCAGCTGTATGTATTCACCACCTACACAGATGGCCATATCTGATCTGTTCACATTGAATCAGTTCTTCCCCTGCACAGACTCCTGCAACTACCAGCAAGTGTGCCTCTATTAAAGAGACTTTTGTATATTCACCAAGTAGACTTTGAGCCTTCCTTTGATTTGAGCCCACAATTAGATATAATGAGACTTCTGCTCTATTCTCTATTTCAGCAAACTGATACAGAGAAGCTGATGGAGAACTAAGAAGAGTTCTTGAACTCTCTTCTTAGCCAGGGTTTAAATGCAGAGAAATACAATGCAAGAACCTCATAGGCATGTCTTGCTGTGCTTTTGCTCTTGATCATTCACTGTTGCTGTAGCAGCGAGGGTGAATCTGGGAGTGGAGGTGCAGCTATGCAGTTGCACCCCCCTTTGATTCTTGCTTCATCCAAACTTTAAAACCAACTGCCTGACAGTGGCAGAAGCATTTCAAGTTGGGCAGCACTGAGGAAGTCAGTTGATGTCACGGCTCATTGTAATTTAACTGATCCCTTCTACACTCTTGATTCCATGAGTGTTAACAACCCTCTCTTTTTAATGGTTTTGATGTTCCACCAATCAAGCTATTCTTTGTTCTGCAGTTCTGCTGTTAGTTGCTCCTGGTAATGAAGCTTCTATTTCACAGTACTGCAGATTGTTTTTTTTAACTCATTTCATAGATTCATAGATGTTAGGGCTGGAAGGGACCTCAATAGATCGAGTCCGACCCCCTGCATAGGCAGGAAAAAAGGCTGGGTCTAGATGACCCCAGCTAGATGGTTATCTAACCTCCTCTTGAAGACCCCCAGGGTAGGGGTCCATTTCAATAAGTGGCCATAATTTCAACCTATTTCAATAAGGTTATATTTGTTTTTGCTTCAATCTTAAACTGAATGATACAGCCCCAGGCCTCTAGCTAATTACTAAAGCTTTTAGGTTATTTTAAACTGGAGAAAAATGTGTTGTGCTACATGTGATGATGCACCTCACCATCTGGACTCCCCATTTCAAAATTCTGGTTCCACCCATGGTAACAGCACTGCAGTATCATTAGTACTTACAGTGGTGAGATTGCTAGTCATATTAAACTGGAACCAGGACTTTCATTGTTGTGTCAAGACCTGCTTGGATGAACTATCTTGGATGTAACTGATCACCAACTACATAGCAACTAATGAGGCAAAAGCCCAGCATTTAAATAATAAAGGAGAGGTTCCACTTTCTAAGTTTCCCTTTTAACCAAACACATTGCAGCTGCTTGTTTGTCATCACTTTACCTTGTACACTGGGGATATTTATTATTCTAGACAGCAGGCATCTAGGGATTCTGGTTTGGGTTTGTCCCTAATTTTATTAGCTGACTTGTTTCTTACAAGAACACTTTGTAACATTTCTGATCATTTTCTGGATCGGAGCAGCTTCCCTGGCCTGAACATCTGCACTCTTTGAAGGGTACAAGTTGTAACATGTAAGGAATTTCTTTCCTAAAGCTTCCCAGCTCTTCTGCCTGCCCAGATCTGACACACACAAGAAATCTAATTGGGTCACTCATTAGCTCTCCAAATGGAACATCTTAAACAAGAAACTGGGGGAACAAACTCATCCCACAGTCCCTCAAAGCCAAGTAGTTGGGGCACTTTCTCATCATGTGCAAGATGCATTTAGATACCTGCTTCAAATCAGGCAGAGAAGAGATTTTAAATCAGGTTTCCTACCTCCCAGATAAGAGTCCAGTGGCCTAGCTTAAGCACCTGTCTGCAGCGAAATACTCACAGCAAGAGATAGGTGCTTTTAGTTATGTTCCCCTAAACTTCTCAATCCTGTCCCCCTTCACTCCATCCTTAGTTGTTTCCATTTACTGCTGGTTTAGCCTCCCCACACAACACACTTTCCCATGGATTTCACTCTTAGGCACCTTCCTCTGTCTATCCCGCAGAGATAAAGCCTGGAGCCCTGTCTCAGGGTTGTGGATTCTGCCAAGGAACAGGGGTCCTAAAAATTGAGTCCCTTTGCAGATGTAACTCCTGATGCCCAGGATTGCGTGTCATTGAGGGCAATTGGAGCTTCCTTTTTCAGCCAAGGTTCTTTGGATAAATATGATATCTTTTATTAGACCAACTAAATAGTTGTAAAAATTGTTGTTTGCAAACTTTCAGGCATAGGTAAAGTGCTGTTGTTTTGTGTTTTCCTTGCAAAAAACAATTTTCCAACTGTTTAATTGGTCTGATAAAAAGATCACATTTACCTAAAGAATCTTGTCTGCCTACGTCTTTAGACCTGCACGGCTACAACCAACACCTCCTTTTTCAGCTTCACTTAGGAAATTGGCATATGCTGATGGCTGAGTCAGCTGCGGAAATGCACGTTTGTCCCCACTGCCCATAATCAGAGCCAAGCACAAGAGGAGAGACAAGTAGAGGGGCAGAACCTGAAAGATGGAAGCAGAGCCCTTCTTGGAATCAGCCTGCCTCACTAGTTCTCTCTCCTCCTGCACTGGAGAGCTGCAGTATACATATTAAGGGCTGCAAAAACAGAACAGGGTGGAAAGCCGTCCTGAAGCATGGGGGGAGGGGTGGAAGGGAGGGAGATTTTCCCGACAGAGTGCAGCAGGCCTCCTCATGCCTCTGATTGGCCACGGGGCCCTGGAAGTCCGTCCGTCTGTCTGTCCCCCCCCCCTCCCAAGGCTGACGGGTGGCACTTGGTACTGCGCTCAGATCACAAAATCAGGGGGCAGCCACCCCAAATTCAGTAGGTTGCTATGTATAAGCAAACCCTTAGGCGCTTAAGTAAAGAGAGTTTTGGGCCATGAATTCGGCAGGATTTCAGATGCATGTCTCCCTGCAGCATTTCCTTGCAGCTGGTTAAGGTGTCCCTTTGCTCTGTGTTGGCTCTTCTGAATCTCATCCCCATGTCCTGTACAAGCAATTTTAGTGCCTAATACAGGTTTGTGAGACCCTCTCCTGAGCTAGCCTCCTACAGGTTGGGTGTGGCAATGCAAAGTGCTGCCAGGTGTCAATCCCTTTAAAGAGCTGGATCTTTGTGCTCATACACTCCTGAATATAAGACGTTTTGCACCCTAAAAAGGAAAAAGACATGACACTTCTAGCTGATCAAACAAAAGCCCCAAAATAGAAAAGTTAAAATGAGATTGTTAAGGGGGTTAGTGATTCATCAGCACTGTCAGGTGGGATCTGCCTGCCCTTGAGGGTCTATCTGCTGCCAAAACCAAGCAGTGATGTTGATAGCGTAACTTCTTACTGGCAGGTGATTTCTGGTGCAGAGAGCTTGGTAAGGAGAAACTAGTGATTTGTCCATTGACTCAGTAACTTCCTCACCCCAGATTCAGGAGACAGAAGTCAAACTCTTTCCACTGACATGCTCAAGGTTTCTGGTCTTCATTTGCTCTAACCTGTCCTGGCCCTTGTGTCAGTCAGGTGTACAGCAACCAAATTCAACTGAGGCACTGAACAATAGAAAAATGCTATCTTGTGTGGAAGTTTTTTCTTAAAATACTTGCAGCAATGCAGTTAATCCCCCTCCCCACCTTGGGTTCCTACTCTGCCCAAAGTTTAAAACCAACTGGCACAGCAGCGACAATGGTATTTTTATAAAGGCAGCACTGAAGGAGTTGATTGATTTTGTGGCTCATTATAATCTACTTGATTCCTGCTAATCTCTCTTCACTCCACATATGTCAATGACCCTCTCTCCTTTTTAATGGGCTTCAAGTTTCACTAATCAAGCGATCCTTTCTCCTGCAATTTTGCTGTCTGTTAGCTTCTCCTATTTCAGGGCCCTGCAGACTGTTTTTAGCTACAGCTAATTAAAGTGTGGAAACATTAACTCCGGTGATCATAAACTCAGGTATGAGAATAACTGAGTGAAGTTTGGATGCACTCGAGAAAGATAAATTTCATTTTATGAATCTGAATAAAAGATGTAAATTTAATTCTAATGGCTACAAGACTACTGAAACAATATCTTTTATTATTTTTTGCCCGGTTTGTTGTGGGTTGTTTAATAATAATGCGCATTCCAATAAAGCTATATTTGTTTTTGCTTGGATCTTAAACAGAATAATATAGCCCTAGGCTCCTAGAATATTAGTAAGGCTTTCCTAGTTTCTTTTTGACTGGAGAAAAATATGTGGCGTTTTATGTGATGATGCACCTCACCATCTGCACCTCGCTTTTCAAACTTCTAGGTGCACCCATGATCAGAACAGTTATTTTGAAGACATGGCCTTGACCTTGTCCATTTAGTGCAAACTGGCATGAGCTCACAGGCAGTGCTCTTGTGAGAAATGAAGCTTCAGAATCTGCAACAGTAGCTTTTGTGACAGAAACTCTGGCAAGCACCACCCGTTTGATCACTCACTCCATCAGCATTTTTACAAACAATCTTGATGTATCATCACAAATATCCTTTTTTTTTTTTTTTTTTTGCAACCAAGGCAGTTATCAGCAGGCACTCTTAGAGATGAAACAAAGGTTATGATAAGTGGTCTCATAGGAATTTTCTGCCTGAAAAGCTAAAATATTACTCTATCAATATAAATTGCATTTGAAATAAAAATGATTCAGATCATTGCTAGGACATTGCCCTTTTATACACCAGGGAAGTATACTGTGTGAATGTCGGTGCTGACGCTGAAGGACTACAGTTGGTGTATTAAAGCAGGCAATCTTTTTTCACTTACTTATATTCATGCTTTTGATACAAATAAGGTTATGAGTACAGCTCCAAATTTTAATGCTTGTAAAATAAAATGCTGAAAAAACACATGTTAAATGAAGATGTCTAGCAAGTCTAAATGAGGCAAAATAAGAATCCCTGGGTTTGTAGTCTGAAATCAACAAGATGAAATCCAAGAAAGTATAAAATACAGCACTTAGGAAACAGAAATCAAATGCACATATACAGCATGGAGAATAATCGGCAAAGCAGCAGAACTGCAGAAAGAGACCTGAGGGTCTGAATGGACCAGAGAATATACTGTATATAAATCAGCAATGTGACACTGCTGAAAAAGGCATATCTCATTCTGACAAGGTTCCTTGGGTGAATTCCAGGAAGAGCACACACCAACTGCTGCAGCTTCCTGAGCCTGACGAAGGGTTTTTGAACCCAAAAGCTTGCTTAATAACTATTCTCCAACCATTTGGGTTGGTCTAATAAAAGATATCAAATTCACCCAAGGAACCTTGTCTGCCTATACCCTTAGACCAACACGGCTACAACCTAAACCCCTATCTCATTCTGAGGCATGTTTTAACAAGATCATTGCATGTAAAACCCTAATATTAATTTTTTCCTAGTTGGTGCTGTTGAAGTTTTAGGTGAAATAACATGTATAGGTTGAGATACCACACTTTAAGAAAGATGTAGAGGTTAGACAAACTGCAGAGTGCAAGAAAGAGGACCAAAAATAAGGGGTGTAGAAAACATGCGCTTCCGTGATCCTATGCCTTGTGTGGTTCATTAAGTCACCTTTCTTGTGCATCTGTAGGTATGGGTGTGGTCAAAGGCCAAGTTCATCAACAGGAAATTCTTAATGGAGGAACTTTATCAGCACTTTCTAGATGGAGAGGACATGCATGTGGAGCAAGACAGTGATCCATTTTGGGATCCTGTTGAGGTTATTCATTTAGGATCTGCTCACATTTGGCTTCAGTCACTCGCTTACTGCATGAAGCTGGAAGAACAAACGGAGCTTCTGAACTTCGAAGGGCAGGAGGAGGCCGTTGTACTTATAAACGTAGTGCCGTGTTCCAGTGATGGAAGGTTCAAGTTCCCCTTTTCCTTCTTTATTTTTCTAATCCAGTTTAGGAAACTGTGTTGATATATTTGGCTGGAAATGGAGGGTAAAAATACTGAACAAGATATGAAAATGATGGAATCAAAGGGTGTGAATGAGAGCAGGATTTGGCTCAAAGGTTTTAAAAGAATGGGTGGAGGGAACACCACATGGCAAGACCATGTAAGTCCTGTTAGTCATGATGTCCCTGAGGTTGCAATGCTGTGAAGAAAGTCCCTGGGAACTTGAAGTCCCCTGAACTGTTACCAAGGTCCCACTCTGCCTGAGTGAAAACATAGCACCACCAGACTCCAGGAGGAGTTGCTTCCATCCTTCCTTGCCAGATGGAGATGGGTTCTTGCAAGGAAGAAGTGCCTTACCAAGAGACTAAAAATAGCAACAAGTCCTTTTTTTCAACTTCTGGCACCTTTTTCTTCTTTAGAACTGTGTGCGCGCATGCATGCGCATGCATAAATGTGTGAGCAGCCATGTATCTGCTTCCATGGCTCCTCTGTCTGTGACTGGAACATGCTATAGATTGGAGCGTTATGAAGAATACTTTTCAGCTCATGTATTTGCATAAAAAGTTATCCTTCCCTCTGTCCCTGGTTCCATGATTCACTGTTACCATTCTCTGTTTTTGGTGAAAGAAGAGCACCAGATATAATGTTATGTCATTCTGCCTATATTTGTAGAGCCTTTGAAGAGGATGATATGGTCATTGACCCTTTGGAGTTGCTGGGAAGGCAGATTGATTTCCAGATTCACATTGTGCAGTGTCTTGGAGTCAGATGGCTGAGAGACGTCCCTGACAGGGGGATTCAGATTGGGTACTGTGCTGCACCAGTTTCCTGCTTTCTTTGCAAACACATTCAACCTGACTCTTTGGTGAAAGCCAAGGCAGTTTCATGGTGATCCTAGTAGGTGCTACCAAAGCGCCTAAGCTACTATTATATGTTTAGCTTTAAGCTGCAAGATCAGTTTGCTTCTGAACCTGAGACATTATAGGAGGTGCTCAGCTGTTCTCTTAAAGGATACTTTAATACTAGGAGCAAAGGAGTACTTAGCAAGAATATTTCTGATCTCTTGTTTCAAACAACGGTAAATTTCCTCAGTAAATGGGAGGGAAAATTGTTCCTGTGGATTGATGTGGGGGATGAAGTTTTAGGCTACATAATACAAAATAGTCATGCATAATTAAAGCTTTTTGAGCAAATGCATTTTTGACTTGGTGACAAACTGCTACTGTCAACAAAAGAGTCACCAAAAATGAATAAAGTGAAGTAATATTTTCACATAGTGTGGGTGGTATGAGCCTGCACAAAGCATTTTGTTCAATAGGAGGAACAGCTGACCTTGAAATGTATCTGTAATTTTCTTTCTTTGCTCACAGAGCTGACCTTTTCAGGGACTGAGCTGGGTTTTTAATTATATCTGTTGTTAATGTTTTATCCCCTTAGGTACAGATTTTATGACCTTCCACGATCTGTGTACACCAAGCCTGTCTGGAAAAATGTGAATCCAAAGATAGAAGAGAGAACACGTTTCTCAGCCTTCACTGTATCCCATGATTTTTTGAATTATTTACAGAAAAATGCTTTAATTGTTGATCTCTGGGGCCTTCAAGGTATTTCTTTGCAATGCATTTTTTTTATTTGTGGTTGTTTTCTGTGGCTGCAGCTTGTAAACATCATGCTGCAGCAGCATTTTAGAAAAGCAAAGGCTCCCTGTGACAAGGCCTGGCTTGCTAACCCCATGGAAAATGCCAGATCTGGGTTTTGATTTGTATTTTGACTACAGAAAAATAATAGAGCAGGTTTTCTGTTGCAAAAAATTCAGCCCACAACTGGTCAGAATCTATTGAACTCTATGGATTCCTGTTTGAAATCTCTGGCTATATCTTGTGAATCGTGTTTGCACACCTCACAGTGTACCACTGTGCAGCAGCTCGTGGCACCCCTAAAAATATATCTGGGCGAGAATAGATTAGACCGGGGTTGGCAACCCCCAGTAGGCGTGCTAGTGTGGGGCAGGCGAAAGCCTTTAGCTTGGCACGTGTGCCTTGAAGTGGATGGCAGGGAAGGGGCTAAGACTACGCGGCCATAAGAATCAGGCCCCTCATAGTTTCCCTGCTATCCTCCTGTAGGTGCAGATGTACCCACCGCCAGCAATGAGCAGCCTGGGCGTTGTGGGCTGCGAGCTGCCTGGGCCTGCCCAGAGCCTGGGCTGGCATGGCAGGTGGCTGGGAGGCTGCAAGCAGCTGCACTGAGATCTTTGGAGCCCTGGCCCAGCTTGTTGCTGGCACTGGGTGCATGCATGCCTTAGGGTGGATGGAGGGGAAGGGGCTGGGGCTGGGGCTGCACTGCTACAACAAGGATCGGCCCCTGTGGTGGCTTCCCCACCATACACCCCTGGCATGCCAACATCTTACAAGCCAAGGTTGGGGTGTTTTTGGCGCTCTGCCCCAAAACATAGCTGATCATGGCTTAGTATTTATTCCCAGTTCTCTGGACAGATTCTTCTTGTCAGATGCCTCGATTTTGGCACTGCAGTGTTAGCTGGGCAATCTATCTAGAGAGGGTCAGGCATCTAGGATCCCTTACCATGAACGGCGATCATTCACTGCCTTCAAAGGGCGACCCAGAGTGCCTACGTGAGTTCTGAATTCAGGTCCCTAATGCCCTTTATTAACCGATGACAACCTGGTGTAAAATGTAGAACTGGGAGCAGGATTTGCAACCCAAGAATCCTCCTGCAGTCAGACAGGCACCCTCCTGCTTATTCTTCTTCTGGCCTCAGGTTTCAGTGGAACTTCAACAGGAGGGGCAGAGAGATCTCACCCACCTGTGCCCACATTCTGGTGTTTAGGTATGTAAAGGCTAGATTGGAATAGGCTTTGAACCATGTGGAAACTGAGGCACCCTGGGAACTTTCAAGGTGAAATGGAGCCATGCATTGACTGCAAGCACCTAGATGGCTTTGCAATACCTGAAGAGGGTTGATGTCTGGACCACCCTTTACGATTTAGATGCCTAAATTCCATCTGTCCTATTTAGACACTTACAAGAACCCACTCGGTCTGGGGTGGGGCAGAGTCTGGAATGAGTGCACGAACTAGCAACTGTTCACAGGTAATGAGAGCTACTGCTTTCAATAAAAAATAGAAAGAAAAATTAAATATACAAACACTGTAAAAATAAAAGTGCTGACTAAAAATACAGTATTCCTATTCTAGTCTGGAACTGTATTAGCCAAAGCAAACCTAATCAATACCCGTATTTCTTTGCATACCACACGCCCCCAACTAAGACGTGCGCCTTGTTTTTTAACAGAATGTAGAAAAAAGGACTATTTTCCAGGGCCATGGCTTAGAGCTGGCTTTCTCATGGAGGGGTCATGCTGAAAATGATTGCAGCTTCTCTCTCAGTGAGCAGGCAGCAGGGGCAGTCCAGTGTTAACTCTTCGAGGCTTTGACTTCGCTAACAAAAGCTGCTACTGATTTGTCATCAGCTGTGAAAGGATTAACACTGGACTCCGCCCCTCTTGTGTGCTCACTGAGAGAAGCAGAAGGCACTTTGCAGCACCGCCTCTCCATGCTTCTACTCCTCCCAGCTTTTATTCTGGTGAAGAAAATCAGCTTCCCCGCTTCAGCATCCCAATTTCCGAGGGCTGATTTTTGGAGAAAGGGTGCACGTGGTATATGAATAAATGCAGTATTCTAGAAATCTCCCTTTTCAAGGATATCTGTTTAGAACTTGTAGGCTTACAGTGCATGCATGTAAAGATCTTCAGCTGTATTGCTAACATACCTCCTTGTTAAATGTAGGGTTACAATTAACTGATACAATTACTTAAAAAGTAAACACAAGTGGTAAGGTGTTATTATACAAAAATGTATTGGAGAAAAATTGGGGAAAAAGAGAATTATTATTATAAATACAGAGACTTGGTATCATTTTAGAATGAATTTGCATTTATTTTCCTGTGTTTCTTGCAACTGACATGCAATAGAAGCACAATTGTGAAGAGAACAGGACAACATTGTCTTAACCACGCTATGTCTTTCCTGCAATGCAGAAGGGTGCACAGAGCTAGACTGTTCCCTCCAAGGCTGCAGTGTCACAAGTGAGGGCACCATTATTGTCGATAGCCCAAAAGATTTGAATGCATATGATGTTAGTTTGGTGAGTGCACCCGAATTACCGATTACATTTTTTGATAACATCATGTTGTTCACAAAAGTAGTCCCTTGACATTAATGGGACCATATCAGCTGTTAAAGGTTGCAGAAAGGGGACCCAGTATGTACAGTATTTCACCTGGGTGGCAGTGAGCTATGTGTACAGCGTAGCACAAGGGGTGGAGGGAAGGCAAATTTCCTAACCCTGTTAGCCATAAACCAAAATCTTGACCCAGGCCACATGCTTTTTTGAGATGTGCATGGTCCAGAGGCAGACCCCACTTCAAAGGAGAACTTGTCACCAAACAGCTTTTTGGAATAAATAAGTAACAGCTGTTGCTTGTAGACTATCCTTTAACAGAGAACTATATGATCCTGCTAGCAAGTATTATAACAGATTTTTTTTAATGAAAAATAGAATGCTTTGGATTTTCTTAGTCATCCTTTATTGTAGTTTATTATAAATTATGGTACTAAAATGGTATAAGCCCTGATAGTTTAAATTATAAATAAACAGAACCAAGTTCTTACAGCCAAAACAAAACCTACCTGAAAAATTATTAAAACCAATAGGAAAACTATAGTTTAAAATAACTGGTCTCATTTAAAAAAAAATAAAAAGGTGCAAGACACTTATGGAATTGTTGTTCTTCCTTTTCCTTTGATTTCAGTCCAGTTCATCTGAATCTTTGATGCCTCTTTATCTTCCCTGTGATCAGTCTAATATAGAGCTGGCTGGATAATTTTTCAAATATTGTACCCACTGAAAAATATGTATTTGTCTGCCAAAATATTTGCACATTTTTGTCAAATCTCTCTCTCGCTTCTTTCGCTCTTGTATCCCACTGAGGGTTTTCTTGCATTTTTTTTTAACAAACTAATTCTGATAGGTTTTCTCACCTCATTTACATAAGGGAAACCGTTCCTTTCCCCTTACTCACACAACATTCTTGCTGCCTTCGATTGGGCTTATTGCAAAGGCCTCTACCCTAACTGGGACTGTGTTTCCCTGAACCTCCCACTTATTTCCTGCCTCTGCTCCTCTCTTCTGTACTATGCATAAAAAACCCAAAGTTGTTAGCAACAAATAGCCTGATCTTGGCACCCTTGAAAACAGATATGTATCTTTTTAAAAGCATTTGAAAGAGATCAACCTCATGCTACTGGAACACAAGAGATACCAGCATGAAGGCTGCATCCAACCCCATCCATCTGACAGTATAGGGCAGGGGTTTGTCACCAGAGGGTATACGTACCCCTGGGAGTACTTCGAAAGGTTCTAAAGGATATGTGCAGGCAGGCGGGGATGGAGCACCGCTACCCACTACCCCATGTCGCTGCCTCCCAGGAGTGGGGGGGAAGGCCAAGGGGAGGGCCTCACACATGGCAACCACCGCCACCATCTACCACCCTGCACCACCCACTGCCACATGCCACTTTCCTACAGCAAGGCCCATCAGCAGCCCATGTGTGACCAGCTGTGGGAAAGTGGGGTGTGGCTGCGGTTGCTGCATGCAAGCCCTCCCCTCCCCTGTGTCTGGCTGCTGCCACCAGAAGGGGTATACTTCTTAAAAAAGGTTGAAAACCCCTGGGCTAGGGTGAAGGCTGCGTGTGTATGTAATCTTCCAGTTACATGATTCCAACCAAAACTCAAGTCTGGGTGAAAAAGGGCTTTGCAGATACAAAGCAATAACAGTAAGGGCTTTTTTGATAATATTCTGCTTAGACTACTAAGACTGCTTAGATACATACTGGATTTTTCTTAATAGGATGCACCAAACCAAATGTCCAAACTCTACATGAAGCTACTGAAGCTGGAACAAGAAACTGAGCTTCTGAGGGATATTAACAGAGCTCTAAGGGAAGAAAATATTTTTCTTAAGGAGCAGCTGAAGAAATGGGACACAGGACACCATGAAAGTTAGTGCAAAATGCCATACAATTGCATGCTCTGTTATAGTTCAGGTATATGCACCAGGCACCATCTGTTCCAGGAGGTTCTAAGAAAATGTTAGTTTAGTTTCATGGCACTGAATTTCTTCTCTGACAAAAGGAAAGGGATGAAATTCCCATTTTTAAACAGCAATATAAGAATGCAGAATCAACTTTTGTCTCTATCAGCCTTTGCTTGTAATAATATAATTAATAAAAATTCTGTCTTGCACTTTAGGTAAGAATATGAAGCCACCTCACAAATGGACTATTAAGATGACAAAACTACCTCTCTCATCAGAAGGAACTGACCAGCTGTGCTGTCACCGGACCAGCTATGACAGTGAATTTGCTAAAGCTCTTAAGGTCTTCTATCAAAATATGAATGTAGTAAGAGGACAATTTCTGAAACTGAAGCACAGCAAACCCCCTGTATGTCTGATTTTTTAAGTGTTTTTTTAAGAAATGGGAACTGGGCCTCTTCAGATTTAAGATCCTTTTATGTCACCAGCTTTCACTACAGGATTGCGGGTGACGTGGTTCTTATTTCTTGCAACTATTCCCTTTCCTGCTTTTTGCATTAGAACAAACCTGTTTCCATGAGCTTATTTGTCAGCATTCTTAGGCTAGGAATAGATGATGTATTTGCCCCTGGACAAGTTGTGCCCATGTTTATCCTGGACCAGAAATATCCTAGGATTGGCATGTACACACTTCATTCTTCCAATCAGGATTTCGTAAACAGCTGAATGCACTGTTGCTTTTCTGCCATTAATGAGGTAATCCCAGGATGCACTTTGCAATGTAGTGGGATAAACTGTTAGTACTTCTTATCCAATAAGCTTTTTTAGGATTTATCCTGGGACAATGGACATGAATATCTGAGTGATCATTTTGTCTTGGGATAAAATGGTTTATCCTGGGACACATTAAGGCTGCAAACAGACCTTGCATATATCAAGGCCTGCAAGTAAAGTTAAGTATGTTCCTTTGCAATCTGGAATATATATATATATACCATGTTTTCATAATCCACCATGTAGAAGCTGGTGGGCCACTACTACTACTGATTTGGATGATGGGATCAAGTACACATTTAGTAAATTTCTGAATGACACTAAGTTAGGTGGACTTGCAGACACCCTAGAGTTTGACTAGGATCCAGAATGGCCTGGATAAACTTGCGAAATAGTCTGCAATCAGCTGAGATTCAACAAGGACAAATGTAAAGTCTTGCACTTGGGAAGAAATAATTGCATGCACAAATACAGATTGGAGAATGACAGGCTAGACTGCAATACTGCAGAGAAGAACTTGGGAGTTATGGTGGGCCATAAGCTGAATGAGTGACAGGGTGCTTTTGTTGCAAAGCCAATAGTATCCTGGCTTGTATTCACAGGAATGGCGCTTGCAAATTAAGGTAAGCAATTCTCCCACTCGATTCAGCCCTAGTAGGGCCTCACCTGGCATATTTTGTCAAGTTTTGGCCCCCACACTTCAAGGATATGGACCGTTTGGAAAGACTCTAGCAAGAGTCCAGAGAAAAGACTTATGAAAAAGTCTGAAAAACTAGGGAAAAAAGATGGGGGGGGGGGGATTTGGTAAGTCTCCAAATACCTGAAGGGAGATTATAGAGAGGATGGAGATGGACTTTTCTCTGCTTGTAGGGGGTGGACCTAGGAACAAACAGCCTCAAGATGAAGCTGAGGAAATTTAGGCTGGAGATTAGGAGGAACTTTTTGACTTTGAGGGTGGTCAAGCATTGGAACAGGTAACCTAGAGAAGTGGTGGAATCTCCACACTTGGAAACTTCAAAAGCAGGTTAGACTGACGCTTGGCTAGGATGTTTTAGTCATGGACCAGATCAACTTGTGAGGTCTTGTCCAGCCCTACTTTACTTTCTCATGCTCCTGCTAAAGCTGTGCTTGAAGTATGTCTCAAAGCCCTTTCGGGGTGCCACAAAGTGCCAAATAATGTTAGTTTAGCATGGTTAGGCACACAAATGTGATTCTCAAGATAAACCCAGAGATTTCAAATAGGAATCCACAGTGTTAAACTCATTCTGGCTTGTTGGGGGTCTGAGTTCTTTTCAAAAGAAGACTAGTTCTATTATTTTTCTGTTGTAAAAAATCAAGTGAAACCTAAGCTGACATTTTCCAGGGGGGGTTGAGTCTAAAAAGGTTGAGAACCACTTTACTAAGGTAAGTAGTAATTACCTAGGACAGTACTTTCCAGCAAATGATCAAATCAGCTTTTTCTATTCTTGTAGTGAAAATATAAGAGATTAATTAATTTTAATATCACAGCCAAGTACCTACTTAAATCAGACCCAACTTTAGCCATGGAAAACCAGCAGAAGTGCACTTGGTGTACACAAGTGCTCTTAATTATAGGAAAGTAAACCTGATCTATTTGTTATATGGAATGATGCAACTGGAGGTCTTGGCTCAGTTGGTGAGATGAAGAGTACTTGCTCATCATCTTCCAAAAACCAATCTAGCTATCCAACCTGCTTTTCTTTTCTCTCCCTTTTGACACCTAGTTAGTTATATGATGTTTGCTATTTTATTGAGAAGCTAAAACAACCATAATCACAACTGTGATTCCAAACTGAGTTTACAATCAAACTTTTACTTGCTGCCATCTCTGAATTATGTTTCAATTGCTGCCTTAGCAAGCAACCAAAAAGATCCACATGTAGGAAACCTACAAAATGGCATGCACTTCCAACCGAATAGTTATGCTCATGAATTTTATTGGTATTTCCAGGTGGAAGATAACTTACAGATGCTGCGTCTTTTTACAGAGAGACAGTCATGTATGTTAAAAGATTTTGGGGAGCAACTTGAATCTAGCACATGCAAGTTGAAAAATGATGTTGCTCTTATAGTTAAGAAGAAGAGAGAGAGTATAGCATACAGCAAGCATTGAGGATTGAATTCATGACCACACATGAACATGGAGCAACTCTAAAAGATTTTTGATCGTATTAAACTTTTATTATGGGTCAGTTGTATTCATGCAGCCAAAGCAAAGTCTTAGAAACTGGCCTTAATATAGTTATTCTGAGCTCTACTTTAAACTACTCTGAAGTGAGTGATTCAAGAGGATTTCATGAAATCTAAGAAGTCACCATGAAATAACTGCTAAATCACAGCAATCATGGGAATGAACTGAAAGCTACAATTTTAGTGTACTAATTTGTCAGTGCATTAAAATATATGAACAAATGTTTGAGCAAATCTTTACTATGGAACTAGGAGGGTTAAGCTATGCAACAATTACAATAAGTAGTCAATACTTACAAGCCTTTGTATGGTCAATGTCATCTCATTTACCTTTTGGAAAGCCAAGCAGCACAACTTTTATTGTTATTACTCAGAAAACTTATGTTAGCACCTGAACTACAATTTGGAGAGATTTGGTCATTTTTAATCTTTACATATTAAAAAATATTGACCAAGGCTGCTGTCTGAAACATCTCCTATATGTAGCTTTCCTATGTACTATTTTACTGAAATGACTCGTCATCAATTAACAGTACACCTGCTCCAGTTAGTTGTTAGTTTGATCCTATATTAACTTATTATCAGAAGGAATAGCTGTTTTTTCTTTGACTGACACACCCATTGTTTTCTTTTCAATAAAGTTGGCTCTTCCTAATATTAAAAACTACCAGACATGTTTATTAAAAAGCACAAGAAATGGAAGCCAGTCTTATATTGAAATAAGGATATTAACATCTTTCAACTGAAAGACAGCATAGTAAGCAGTGTCTTTATCCCAAATAGTTATTAGTACTCAACCACTAGTTTGATTAGCTAAGGCATTTTACTGTTTAAAATAATTATCTAGACTGTTCTTATTTTGTAAGCTCTTGGTCAAACTGATAATTAAGCACTGTTTCTTTACTGCTTCTGGGTAACTTGAAGTTTACTCCAGAATTGCATGTTGGAAAGAAGAGTTTGGAAATTCCTTAAAGATCCTATAAGTAGTCATACCCTAAATATGCACATAAGCCTGTTACCTATTTCATGATGTATAAATAGGTATTTTGGCTTTTAAGTAGGTACCAAATCAGCAATTTCCTTAGACAAAAGAACTGGTACTGCCCATGGGATAGATTGAAGTCAGCTATTCCACCACACCGATTTCTGTTTCCTGTATAAGCAACAGTGCACACTGTCTGCATTTATGAATGCCACTGATTTGTAAATATTTTTATTGATATACACAGAGCTGTCCTGTTTAGATTTTACATCCAAATATACTTTTTGGTACCTTAGAATTAAACCACAGAAGCTGTTAGTTCATGCAATTTTAGTTTTCCTTGGAATTATTTTGCAACTTCAGACTTCAGGCTTGCTAATAACAGAAAACTCGATGCCCCGTTTGTTGAGTCGATCAATCAGTTTTGTTTTAGAGAAAGCTGCTCCTGGAGTATAAACACCGCCTCTGTTAACAACAAAGCAATTAGAAAGCCATTAATATGTATTTTATTCAATCATTAAAATCATGGATTACACCAATCTCAAAGCTCAAATGATGGGACTGAATTTTCAGTGATTCCCTGAACAAGTATTTGCCCTATCAAGAAAAAAATTCTCAGTGTCCTTTCAGCAGGCTGAGACACACTGGGAGAATCTACATATCTAATAATACTAACAAACTCCAGGAGTAGTTCAAGCCAAATGCTCTCAGGCACCATGTCTATAAGCATGTCCAGGACAGCAACAATTTGAGCCAGAGCAAAACAGACCCCCACCTGGTTGGGCTGACCAGGCACAACGTATGCCTGCAGTCACATGCATTTCGGCACAGTAAAGTACTTCGCTGTAAGTTGGTACTGTCTCCAACAGTACTATCCTATGGTGGAGTTAATTAGTTTACTGCACCCTAATGCTGGTGCATGTGTTCTACCAAGAGTTCTAGTTTTCTGTAGGAGTGTAGACTGACACTTTACTGCAGAACTAAACTAGTCTACTCCACAGTAAAGCGCATGTGTAGATGAACCCATACTGGTATGGTTGACCCCTGTTGCATACTGGATCTTCATGCATTTAGACACATTACTTTTGTTCACACAATTTAAAGGTGCAAGAGTAGCATCAAATGATTAACATACAAGGGAAACAGGGACTCACTGTTTAGGAAGAGAACTTGCATCCCTCAGAAGCGTCACAGCTGCCTGAACTAGTGCTACTGAGGTAGCAATATAACCAGCATCTGCAAAAAATAAAAATAAAGCCATTTTTTGAAAGGGAGGTGCACAGATTTTCCTCGGACATAATGGCGTGTGCCTACATCAGATTAATTCTATTGTGTTTTGTGTGTTAAATACAAATCTGGGAATATTTAGAGGAAACCTATTATGCTATGGTTCAGAAACTGCCCTGCCTGGCAGAGCTGTTCAGAGGACTATCACTCAGAAGTCAGCAATTCTGCAGTCTAGGCAACTAGGTGTCTCTTAACTGGCTCACCACCATGGAACACTGATCCTTCTCCAGAAACCCACTAGTAGGTTTGGAGCTTCCTGAATGGAGCACGTGGCAGAGATGGTGAACCAGTGTGCAGGAGACCAGCCACTATCACAAACTAGGAAGGGTCTGAAAAAGAAAGGAAGCAGGATGGACTGATATGATGAACAACTATGGACTCCAGGGATGGCCTCAGACAAAGGGATGGTGCTTCTCTGGTATTAAACCTGAAAATGTTTAAGACATTCCTTTCAAAATCTGTGTTCCTTGCTTTCCTGCTACACTACAGAACAAGAAGCCTAGAGTGTTCACAACTTGTGTGAAGTTGTGGAGGACTCAGTCCTGAGGCACCAGCTTCAGAGCACAGGGGTGTTTTACCTGCTATATCCGATGGTTCAAGGAAGGGTGTCAGACAAGAGATCTGACCCCAGCAGCATGCCCTAGAGCAGGGGTGGACAATTGTTTTGGGCAGAGGGCTGCTTACTGAGTTTTGGAAAGTTGTCGAGGGCCGCATGGGTAGCCCTGTCCCTTGACAGATGCCCCACCCCCAGGCCCCCATCTTGGGACCTGAAGTCCCACCCCATAACTGCTGACCTTTGTCACCAAAAGCCCCTGCCCCCAGCAATACTCCTTTCAGTAAGCTTTGCCATAAAATACCAAATTATATTATAAAAAGTGAACATCTACAACGTTTGTTAATTTGATTTCAAAAATATTTTTGTCCTGATTTACATGCGTTTGTATAGTGTACGTAGAGGTGATTGCACCAAAGCTTAAAATGAAGTCTTACTCCTGTAAAAACTGTGGGGCTGTGGGAGGCATGGGGGATGGATATAGGTTTGCAGGGGGTCTGCATGTATGGCAGTGCAAAGGAGGTGTGGGTGCATGTGTATGGTGGGGGGTGCTTGTGGGACTCACTCTACAAACACACACACACACGCATGTGCTTCCCCCACTGTGCACGCGCGCGCACACACAGCTTTGCCCCACTACATGTGCTTCCTCCGCTATACCCACATCGTGCGTTTCCCCCCCACTACACACGCACACAGACACGCACCCCTCCCTCCCGCTCCTGGGGTACCAGCGGAACCGTGCATAAGTGGTCCAACAATGCAGCTGTGGGCCACGTGGTGCTGGAGCAGCCACATGCAGGGAAAGCAGCTGCAGCCAGAGGCTTCAGGGTGGGAGGGAGTTGGGGGTGGGGCAGACTGGGCTGGCTTTTCTCCTGACTCCGGCCAGCTCCCCCTGGGAGCTACTGCCCCTGGCTCCATCAACTGACTGGCAGCTAGGAACAGATAAATATTAAATTTTCTAAAATTTTTAGGTGCCCCACAGGCTGGATACAATGGCATGGTGGACAGCATCCAGCCCACAGGCTGTATTTTGCCCACCCCTGCCCAAGAATCCCAAAACTAAAACACTGACTAGACTCCATCCAGATCCAGTTGATCAGGAAGCACAAGGACCTGATGATTCTGTCTGCTGCCTGGTCACTAGCCTGTGCAAGTGGAGTACAGGGCCAGCTTCTAACAATCATAAGCACTAGGGGTGCACCAATAAAGATTTTCTTAGCCCATACCGATAGCCAATTATTAACCAGCCATATTGGCCAATACCAATATTGGTATCTGGAAACCAATTTACAGGAGTGCAGCTGGACAATGTGGAGAGCAGCTCCCTACAGGCAAGTCTGTGGAGGAGAATGGGCATGGGGGAGAGAAAGCGCGGGGGGGGCGGTGGCGGGTGCCACAGGTAGAGGCCCCCACAGTGAGGGAGGGAGTGGGGCAGGCACTGCCCAGCCAGAACAGTGAATAGGACCCCAGGGCCAGGGTAGGAATGGACAGAGCTACGGGTGGCCCATTCAGGGCACCGGGGGGGGCGGCAGCATAAGGGGAGGTGGGCTCCCTGCTGCTGCACTAGCCCCCCCAAGATTTGTGCATCGGGCAGCAGCAGGCTGCCTACTGTAGGCTCAGGGGAAATGCCAGCCTCCTCAGTGCAGGGGTCTGGACTTGGAGTGGGCGGTGCTCAACTGCACAGGGCAGGCAGCAGCACTGGCAGAGGTGGCTATGGGAAGAGGGGGAGGGTTAAGGCACATTTTGGGTTAGCTATAGCCCCCTCCCCCAGCATTGCCCCTGCTCAGGGCACTCTGCTCTGCTGCTTTTCCCTGGGGAGCCCCCAGCTGCAGGGCAGGCAAGGGACACAGGTGACTCAGGTCTCCCAGGGCAAAGGCAGCAGAGCAGAGTGCCCTGAGCCAGGGCTACTGTGGTGGGACTATAGCCACCCCAATATTTGCCTTAGTACGCTCACAGCCACCCCTCCCAGTGCTGCCAGCCCCACACAGCTAGGCCTGCCCCACTCCCACCCCTGGCTCAAAGCCCACAGCAGGCAGCTCACCTTTGGCCTGCACTCAAATCTAGGGGGACACATACAGCCCACCCCCAATGTCTCTTC